TTGAAGGTCCTGGGTAGAGTGGGGGAGAACTATGGAACCAAACTGAAAATCATGAAAGAAAGCAGGATTACTGGTCAGCTAGAGACTGGTGGAATCTTTGAGACTATGACCCTTCGTCACCCTTTAGGTCGGAGACTGAACTCACTTTCGTAGCAGAAGAAACCAACCACTTGAAGATCAAAGGGACGGCATTGACCCACCAGCAAAATTTTAAGAGTTAGGAAAGAAGGAAAACAGGAAACACAGGAAGAAAGTGGAACAAGTGACAGTACTTGAAGGGATTACAATGGATGAGATGAAATAAAATGTGGATGAATTGTTGAATGTAAGACTTAGGATTTCCTCTGTAAACCTTCACTTTATAGTAAAAAGTTTTAAAAACTCATAAAACTGCCCATTTTTAGTAGTTCTGTTTTAGCAGCATTAGGAAATGATGTCACTAACCATCCAGTTTCTCCTTATCTTTTCCAAAATGATCCCCCCCCCCTGAAATGTTTTGGTGTATGTTTTTAGTGCTTTTCTGGTTCCTACCTCTGTTGGACTTTTTGGTTTTTTGAGAAGGTGGATTTCAGCCTTTACTGCCTTTCAGAATTTCCACCACTGTTGATGAATGACTGTATTTGACCACTTAGGCTGTAGTAACAAAGCTTCTTAGATTTTCAACGACGGGTGTTTATTTCCCACTTGTGAAAATGTGATGGCCAACTATACTTAAGTTCTCTGCACTCCAGGGTTCAGGCAAGAGTAACCTCAAAGGCCATATGTTTCAGCTTCTTATGTTCTCATGATCTGATCAGATGCAGAAACTGCCACATAATAGATGCTCAGTATGGAAAAGACCCACTTGTTTCTGCCTGGTTTCCTTCCTTTTCATGCGAGTTTTAAGGACCATGTGCGAATTCTTTGCCTACTGTTTCTTTGGAACCTCTTTAGCCTGTCCCTTCCCCAAGGTGTAGTCATCAACATTTTCTCTTTGTGTTCTGCTTTCTCTCCCTGAAAAATAGTTTTCCCTTTTGGAAACCTACCGTGATTCATTTTTCATTCTAGCTTGTGGGCAGTTTGCCTTTGATTTAACAACATAGTGGAAGCCTATTGTTTTGTCATGTTGAGGTATTAGAAAGGAAGTCAATTATTTTGAAACTTGATGATTTATGTTCTCTTTTGATTTTTAATTCTGAATTTTAAAAAATGTTCTCCCAATGCATTGCCATCAATTTGATGCCAACTCATGGACACCTTATAGGGCAGAATAGAACTGCCCCTACAGGTTTCTGATATGATAAATCTTTACCAGAGTAGAAAGCCTCATCTTTTTCCCTATAAGTGGTTGTTGGTCTTGAACTGCTGACCTTGAAGTTAGCAGCCCAATATACCACCAGATCGGAGTTTACATGTGCCAGCAAATTATACAACTCTTAACTCTGATTTAGTAGGACCTGGGCCTAAAGAAGATGCCCTGGTGAGTTGTGCATCAAACTGCTAACCACAAGGTCATCAGATCGATCCCTCCAGTGGCTCTGTGGAAGGAAGATGCCACATTTTGCTCCTGTAAAGTTTTTCAGACTGGGAAGCCCAAGGGGAGCTCTACTCTGTTCTGTAGGATCACTATGAGTCAGAATTGGCTCAGCGGCAATGAGTTTGGTTTGGTGTTTTTATTTGGGCCTACAAAGTTCCAAAAGTAGCTTGACTTTCTTTTTTTTTTGTTTTTGTAGGTTGACTTCAACCGTGTTAAAAAACAAAACAGCAGCCACCTCACCTTAACCTTACCTAGACTTTATAGAAATAATGTCACTGTAGCTGCGCTGGGTCCCTGGTGTCATGGTGGTTAAGTGCTTAGCTGCTAACTAATGGTCAGCTTATCACACCCACCAGGCCCTCCATGGAAGAAAAAAGTCTGCTTCCACAAATATGGCTATGGACATCCTATGGGGTAGTTCTACTCTGTCCTATAAGATCACTATGATTTGGAATTGATGGAACAGCACACAAAAACAACAATAACTACATTATGCAAGTGATGGTATAGTGTTTACACATTGGGCTGTGATCCACATGGTCGGTAGTTTGAAACCACCATGAGCTCCATGGGAGAAATACTGGGCTTTCTACTCCCATAAATAATTACAGCCTCAGAAACCCACAAGGTCTCCGTGAGTCAGCATTGACTCGATGGCAGTGAGTTTGGTTTGATATATGGAAAATGCTCTATCCTGAAGTCTCTTTTTGAGTGAAGTAGTGCTTTAAAAGAAAACCTCTCTTTTCAGCATTTCCTTGTGTTGAACGTTAACCATCTTATAAAAGTCGAAGGGCATTTTGTTTTTCCCTGAAACTCTCAAAACACGCTAAAGAGCTATGTTTTTACTATGGGCCATTGAGTCAATAACTATGTTGTTGTTACTGTGTGCCATTCAGTGAAACTTCTATTCAAAGCGACCTCATGGCACAGACTAGAATGGCCTGATAGGGTTTCCAAGAGTGTACTCTTCATGGGTGGAGACTGTCAAGTATCTCTCCTTGGGAGAGTGGGCTGTGTTTTATCCAGCAGCTTTTCCATTGGCCAGCTGGGCACTGAATCGTTGCTTTACCAGGACTTCTTTGGAATGACTCTAGCAGAGCTAAATGCAATAGACCGGTACTTCTCATTGCCATGTTTTATTTAGATATTTTAGTTCCTCTACTAGAGTTATTAAATTACTATAGTGGTAGCATTTTCTTTATTTTTCGGTAAGCCCTCAGAACTGTTTGTTGAGTTGAATATGATTTATATATTATTAACTGGAGTCCTGGCTAGTGAAAATGGCTAGTTCAATGGCGATCTCAGAGAGGGGAGGGTTGAGTCCATCCAATGGCTCCCTAGAAGAAAGGGGTAGTGATTTACTTTGGAAAAATCAGCCACTGAAAATCCAATGGCACATAGCACTCTCTGACACAGATAGGGTTACCGTGAGCCAGAATCAGTTTCAAGAAAATTAGTTTATTGAATTAGCTATATTACTATTGAACTAAAAGTGGATTCATCTGTAATTTCTCTCTGATTTTATTAAATTATTATACAAAGTATATGTAATTTTTATATATTCAGTTGCAGTGTCATATCACTATTGGTCCCTAGTCTTTTACCCCTTATAGCACCGGCTTTTTCTTATACACCTTACAGCTCTGTTGCTTTCTGAGCTCACTAGACTGTCAGGCACACAGCCCTGGAAGCTCTTGCCTGGAGGCTTTCTGTGTGGAGATGCTGGAGAACGAATGCCTCCCACCTCTGAATACCTTCACATGGACTGGGAATTAATACCCAATTCCTTTGCCCCTTAGGTAATGCTGTGGTTTTCTAGGACTGCTGTATCAGGAATATCTCAAGAAGAAAATTATTTCTTATAGTTCTAGAAGCTTTACGTACAAATCAGGATATCAATCATGTTAATTCCTTCCGTGTTCGCATTGTAGACATTTCTTGATTCCTTGGTTTGTAGAGGATTGTCACATGGCATCTGTCTTCCCCAATTTGTGCTGGTCTCTGGGTGCTCTTTTCGTGCCTCAGAAGTGATTAAGTTTAGGACCCGTTCTACATATAGCATTAGAGATCTGTAAATCACTGTGAGTCTGAACCGACTTGATGGCACCTAACAACAACAATAATTGCTATGGAAAGAGATTACATTATGTTACTCTATATCCACAGCATTCCAATGTACATTTGGCAGGGGGTGGGGTGTTGGTGGGGGGCAGGTAGGATATCCATAATCTCCTAGGGTTCCCAGCCAGACTGAATTCCAGTTCCTCACAGTGATAACTTGCTGTATGATGTATGTCTTGACTCCCTTCCCTGTTTTATCTCTTTCTTCTAGTCCCTTGTTGACTTTCCCTGGATCAGCTATAAAATAAATTACTCATGATCTAAATCTAGTTTTGGAGTTTCTAAATGAATCCAAATCAAAATAAACATTCATATATACCAAGATTTACTATAAAATAATTACTCTAACTCAGTGTTGTTCAAAAGAAATAGAATGTACTATGTAAATTTTCCAGTGCCCTTTTTTAAAAAAAAGCATTTGGAAAAATTAACTTTTTTTTTTTTGAAAAATTAACTTTTATAATATTTAATGCCACATGTCTGAAATATAATTTAAATGTGTAATCAACATGAAACATATTCATTAGATATTTTATACTAAGTAGCTGGAATCTGATGTAAGTTTTATACTTACTGCCCATCCCATGCCCTCCCAAAAGCCACCACCACTCACTACCATCAAGGTGGTTCTGACTCATGTCTGCCAGAGTAGATCTTCCCCATAGGGGTTCAAAGACTGTACATATTGATGGATGTACTGTTACTTCTTTCTCCCAGGGAGTGGCTGGTGGGTTCGAATGCTTGACCTTTTAAGAACTAGTGAGTGTTTTAGCCATTGCACCACCAGGGCTCCTTTTATACATTTGGCACATCTCACTTAAGAGTAACTGAGGAGCCCTGGTGGCATAGTGGTTGTGAGTTGGGCTGCCATCCTCAAGGTCAGCTGTTCAAAATCACCAGCAGCTCCAGGGGAGAAAGAGAGGCCTTTCTACTCCATAAGCAGTGACAGACTTGGAAACATACAGGGCAGTTCTCCCTTGTTGTATGGGTCGCTATGAGTGGGCACCCACTCGATGGCAGTGAGTTGCTGCTGCAAGTCCTTAGCAACTGCCTACCGTATTGGACAGTGAGTATTTACTTTCTACCATGCTAATCTGTGGGTCAGAATTTCAGGACATGATAGTTCTTGAGTATATAGAAGGCTGTCTAGTAGGTCATGTTTCCTACTCTTAGTAAAATCTTACATGCCTTCTTTATTTTTCCTTTCAAGTTGAATAAAATCTCTGTAAATGCCTGGACTAAGCCTCTCAAAAATGAATCTCTGGAAATGATACATTTGAGACATTCACTTATGCTTCTCACATGTTTGCTTGGAAGCTGTAAGTAATAGAACTCAGCATTTCTGTGTTTGTGTGTTTTGCAGGCAGAGGGTACGAGACTTCAACGAGAACTCCGGGGATATTTAGCAGCTATCAAAGGTAATGTGTATGAGCTGTCTCCTGTAGGCTTCCAAGCACAGGTTGTTTTTGGAATTCACAGAGTGCAAGATATATTGTTAATTACAGAGCCATTTGGCCTTTTGGCAAGATGGGTACTTGAACACAGGTGTTCGCTTTACCATCCTCCAAATCTCCATTGAAATGATAATAAGAATGAAATATGTTTGTCCTTATGCTGGAAACAAGAAATAGGTGCCACCCACATGCCAGAAATTTCTAGGAAGGTTTGTTAGATAAAGTGAGTGAGACCTGGCTTATGAAAAGGTACCGTGGGCCCACATCTTGAGGGAGAGCATGTCCCAAGGGGGAAACACTTACAGACTCACATTTAAATTCTCTAATGGGAGGAGTAAGGTAAGCTTTCGAGAGGCAGGTGCAGGGTTGGCAGTAAACATGACTTCGACTGCCCCTTACTTGTGTATCCCAGCTACACCTGCAATCCTGCCAAGGGTACGGAATGAAGTGGCCCTGGCAGTGATTTCTGGCTCTATTCATGCAAGGCAAAGAAATGAGGCCAGTGGAGGTGGGAGGAAATAAAGGCAGGTGTGCCCATCTAAACCTACTATAAATGATCGTACTGCCTGCACTGAATTGGATGCAAGGGTCCCCACAGAAGAGAAACAGAGCAAAGCAGCATTTTAGATTAGTGGGGTGAGAATGGGTCATAGGACCGATGGTTGTGGGAAAACTGGCCAAACATTTAGGGAAAAGAGTGAGATTCCCAACCTCATACTATATCCTTTGTTCCCAGTACCAGATACTGTCAACATTTAAATACACAGAGAAATAAGTACTAGAATAAATATGGTGGACTTTCGATCTCTTGACAGCTGCTTCCATGAGCACTGATTGTGGATTGAAGCAAGACAAAATCTTTTCCAACTTCCAACTCTTCTCCATTTATTATGATGTTACCTATTGGTCCAGTCGTGAGGATTTCAGTCTTTACGTTGAGCTGCAATCCGTACTGAAGGCTACAGTCCTTGGTATTCATCAGTGCTTCAAGTCCGCCTCTCTTTCAGTGAGAAAGGATGTGTCAGGTGCATGTTTCAGGTTCTCAATAAGCCTTCCTCCAATCCTGATGCCACATTCTTAATATAATGCATCTTCTCTGATGATTTGCTCTGTATGCAGATTGGATAAGTATGGTGAGAAGATACAACCCTGATGCACAACTTAAAAAAAAAAAATTTAAACCATGAAGTAGTCCTTTGTTCTGTTCACACAACTGCCTCTTGATCCATGTCCAAGTTTCTCATGAACAGTGAGGTTTTCTGTAATTCTCTTTCTTCTCAAGGTTATCCATGGTTTATGATAGTCCACACAGTTGCATGCTTTTGCTTAGTCAATAAGCGACAAGTAACTATCTTTCTGGTCTTCTCTGCTGTGAGCCAAGATCCACGTGACATCAGTAATGTTATCTCTTGTTCACATCCTCTTCTGAATCTGTGTGACCTTCTGCAGTCCCCTGTCAGTGTATCGCTGCAATTGCTGTTGGACGATCCTCAGCAAAATTATATTTGCATGTGATACCAATAACATTGTTCTATGGTTTGATAAATCTGTTGGGTCTGCTTTCTTTGGAATAAGCAAAAATATGGATCTCTTCCAGTCAGGTGGCCAAAGATCTGTCTTCCAAATTTCCTGGCATAGACGATTGAGTGCTTCCAGTGCTTCATCAGCTTTGCAAAATGTTTCATTTGGTCTTCCATCAATTCCTGGTGGAACAATTCCTTGTTTTTGGCTAATACTCTCAGTACAGTTTGGACTTTTTCTTTCAACACAATTGGTTCTTGCTCATTCACTACCTCCTAAAATGGTGGGATGTCAACTAGCTCCTTTTGTGTGTTCTTTCCACTTTTCTCCTGTTGCTTCCTGCAGCGGTCAATATTTTGCCCATAGATTCTTTCAATAGTGCAATTCGAGGCTTGAAATTTTCTTGAGTTCTTTCAATTTCAGATAAGCTGGGTGTGTTTTTCCCTTTTGGTTTTCTAATTTTAGGTCTTTAAGCATTTTATTATAATATTTGACGTGTCTGCTCGAGCTGTTGGTGGGTTCAAACTCCTGACCTTGTGATTAATAGATCTCTATATAATCCACTACAGTTACCAAAGCTCTTTAAGATTATATCTAGATGTATGATTAATTCTTATCCTCATAAATAATCAATGCCAATTATATATTATCAAAGGCAAATGTCAATTTCCTTCTGAATCTCAGAAACTTTTTTTTAAGACCAAAGCTATACAAAGAGGGTCCCGTTCATAGACCACTGATACAACAGCTCAACGCAACCAAATCATTAAGTGACTAGTCCCTTCTTCTTGTTGCTTTTGCATACTTTTTGTCCGAGGAGTTTTATTTCTAAAAAATTTCAACTTTTCATTTGGATGTGTGAAACTATTGATAAAAGATACTGATAAATAATGAAATAATGCAAAGATAAGTAGTGAAAATGAGATGTAATAAGAAGTTGGAGAATTAAAAAAAATAACTTAGAGTATGTATTTTTACACTTTTTTATATGTTAGGCTGAGGCCTGGTGGGGTAGTAGTTACTTGTTGGGCTGCTAACTGCAAGGTCTGCAGTTCAAAACCACTAGCCACTCTGAGCGAGAAAGATGGGCAGAGTTATAGTCTCAGAAACTTACCGGGGTGCTTCTAATCTTTCCTACAAGGCAGTGGTTCTCAACCTTCCTAATGCCGCGACCCTTTAATATAGTTCCTCATGTTGTAGTGACCCCCTAACCATAAAATTATTTTTGTTGCTACTTCATAACTGTAATTTTACTACTGTTATGAATCGGGTGATCCTTGTGAAAGGGTCCTTTACCCCCAAAGGGGTCGCGGCCCACAGGTTGAGACAGCTGCTATAGAGTCACCGTAGGTTAGAATCTACTCAATGGCAATGAGTTTGGTTTTGGTTTTATATATTACTTTTACCACATGTGTGTGCCTATCCTACTGTGGTGGCTTGGATGTGGTTTGATGCTGGAAGCTATGTCACTAGTATTTCAGGTAACAGCAGGGTTGCCCAAGCTGAGCAGGTTTAGCAGAACTTTCAGACTAGGAATAAACTACAAAGAAGGACCTGTCTGTCTGCTTCTAAGGGATGCTCCACTGAAAACCGTAGGCCTAACAGGGAAACATCAGCTGTAGGGCTGGCAGATGAACCCCTCAAGTTGGAAGGCACTCAGAATATGACTGGAGAAGAACTGCCTCCTCAAAGTACAGTCAGCTGTCATGATGTGTGTGTTGATAGTGTCTATGTCAACTAGACCTCATGGGTGAAGGTCGAGATGTGGCCCTACCAATCGGGTCAAAGACTGCTGACGCCTCTTTGAACATGTGGCCTTTTGTATAAGAGGGAGATCAAGCGGAGCCAAGTTCTCTTTGACACTTCACCTTCAGCTGTCGCTGGATCCTACATCTGGTTCCTCAAACTCCTGTGGCATGACCTGCCAATATCACAGCTGTCAGCAGACAACCAACAGTGTTGATTCATTCAGCTGATCTCGATTCATTGACCCCTGCAACCACCAGTCTGTGCGTACCTCCACCACATTCCCACTTCCCACTGCTTGACTGCTTTGTCATCCCGCTGCTGGTTCCACAGCCGCGTGAATCAGGAGGAGCCCGACTTGACCTGGACTAGACTTGGACAGCTGCATGAGCCATTGCTTGATCCACGGCTCTTTCTATGAACAGACACATATGAGGGCCACTGGCTTTGCTTCTCTAGAGAACCCAATCTAATACATGTGGACCACGTTAAATATTTGGGATCATCATTTGCTTATGGAATGTGATTCAAAAGTATAAGAAACAACTGCAAATATCCCTGAATAACATGAGCTTCAAATGTACAAACTAGAGACATTGTTAAAATGAAATGCAATCTGTAAATATCCGTATGCTAGCACCAGTGAGCTGAAATGGACTGGTATTGACCATTTTGAATCAGACGATCATATGGTCTACAATTCTGGGAATGATAAATTCAAGAGGAAGGGTGTCACATTCATTGTCAAAAAGAACATTTCATGATCTATCGTGAAGTACAATGCTGTCTGTGATAGGAGTGTCTATATACCCACAAGGAATATAGCTATTATTCATATGTATGTACCAACTACTCCAGCCAGTGATGAATAAATTAAAGAATACTACAAACTTCTTCAGTCTGAGATTGATCAAACATGCAATCAAGAAGTATTGTTGATTGGAATGCAAAAGTTGGAAATAAAGAAAAAGGAACAGTAGTTGGAAAAGATGGCCTGGGTGATAGAGACCAAACCGGAGATTGCATGATGGAATATTGCAAGACCAATGATTTCCTCACTGCAAATACCTTTGCCAACAAAATAAATGACAATTATACATGTAGACTTCACCAGATGAAATATACACTCATCAAATTCACTACTTCTGTTGGAATTGACAATGGGGAAACTCAGTATTAGCAGCCAAAATGAGGCCAGAGGCTGACTGAAACATATCATCAATTGCTCCTATGTAAGTTCAGGTTGAAGTTGAAGATAAATAGAACACATCCACCGTAGCCCAATTACAACCAGGAATATATCCCTTGTGAATTTCAGGAAAAATCCTCGAGGAGATTTCATATACACTAATGAGCTGATGAGTTATGGGATGAGTTATGTCTTGAGAGCATCATACATGAAGAAAGCAAACACCATTAAAAAGACAACAACAACAAAAGGTTCAAGTGGATGTCAGAAGACACCACTTGATTGTAGAGTAGCTAAAACAAAGATAAGAAATGATCAAGTAAAAGAGCTGACTAGAAAATTTAACGGACAGCCTGAGAAGGCAAAGAAAAGTATTTTAATGAAAAGTGGAAAGACCCGGAGTTAGAAAGCCTAAAGGAAGAGCAGGCATAGTATATATTAAGCTGAAAGAACTGGAAAAAGAATTGAATCCTTGAATTACAATATTAAAGAATTCTGTGGGCAAAAT